AAAGACCATCCGCGGGTCACTCGAACAGACCCCATTAGGGCTTGGCACAGTTTTTGCGACCCATTTTTTTGACGCTATGTGAAAGAGCATGGTCGAATTAGTAAGACTGCATGGTTTTGAGATTTTTAAAAGTTCATTTTGGGGTTTAAATGACCGTTAAAGTCGTTCACCCCAAAAAATTATCTTTGAAGTTACTTAACCAAATTTGCTGAAAATTTGTGTTCATACCTAATTTGGCGTGGGGATCATTTTTCTAATACATTGTTAAGCCCGAAAATCACCGGAACATAGGAATCTCTCGCGTACTCAGAACAGTTTTTCAAAATTTTCGATTTTTTAGAGTGTTGCCTGTAACGTGACAATAACATAGAAAGATGCGCAAAAATTTTCTGCATCGAGTGTTGTATTTTCTAGAGTGCAGTGAACACTCTAAAAATTACAAAAATGGCCTTGATTCCAGCCAAAAATAAAAAATTTGATCAGGTGTGGAGGGAAAAGCATAGATTTGTATCTACTGCCCAAATCACGGCGAATGCAAAAGAGCAAAGAAATTCGGCTTCTAAGAGGGGCTGGAATTGAACTCGGGTCGTTCGCCTGGGAGGCGGCGGCGCCCTCTAGTGGCTGTCCCCAGAGCCCCCCAGGCGAGCCATCGCGAGTTCGATTCCAGTAACTCGTTAGTTTCTCTTAGAAAAGGAATTTATTTTTCCAATTTTTTGTATTAGGTCGGGAATTATCTCAAGAAGGCATGCACAAGCCTGTTTTCTATAATACGCAGGCGTCTTCGACGTACAGGGCTACTTTCACATTTAAGAAACTATTATTTTTGCAATTTTTAGAGTGTTCACTGCACTCTAGAAAATACAACACTCGATGCAGAAAATTTTTGCGCATCTTTCTATGTTATTGTCACGTTACAGGCAACACTCTAAAAAATCGAAAATTTTGAAAAACTGTTCTGAGTACGCGAGATTCCTATGTTCCGGTGATTTTCGGGCTTAACAATGTATTAGAAAAATGATCCCCACGCCAAATTAGGTATGAACACAAATTTTCAGCAAATTTGGTTAAGTAACTTCAAAGATAATTTTTTGGGGTGAACGACTTTAACGGTCATTTAAACCCCAAAAATGAACTTTTAAAAATCTCAAAACCATGCAGTCTTACTAATTCGACCATGCTCTTTCACATAGCGTCAAAAAAAATGGGTCGAAAAAATGCTGTGCCAGCCTCTGTTCGGTTGGCTCACAAACGGCCTTTTAAGTGGAGCGGCGGGGCCTAGAATCTCCTAGACAGGATGCCGGATTGGGCGGTGCTCAGATCAAAGGAGGACATCGACGAGGAGAACACCGACGACATCGAGGGGAGCAGCGTTCCCAGGCCCGCCGAGCGGGTGATGCTCAACTGGGAGTGGACCGGGGAGGAGTGGGGCGTCGGAGGGAGCTGGAAAATGAGGTTGGAATATCGCTCTCTCTCACGCTCTCGCTCTCTCTCTCTCTCTCTCTCTCTCTCTCTCTCTCTCTCTTCCTCTTTCTCTTTCTTGCTTTCTCTCGCACTCTCACTGTAGATGCTCACCTCGGCTCTGGAGATGACACCGCCGTCTCGCCGGTCACGCAGCACTGTGAGGCCGACGTTGTCAAGCTGTAAAAATCTTTTTAGCACGCTTCCTCAAAAATCTCTGCTAGCCTTCCTTTTCCTAAAAAGACCCTGCTAGCCTGCCATTTCCTAAAGAAACTCTGCTAGCTGCCCCTCCTGAACAACTACAGTAATCCTCACCGCTCGCCACGGCACGACGGCTCGTTGGTGTTCTTGGCCGAGGACCACTGCATAGTTCTGCCATCCCGCTCCGTAGCCGTCAATTGGTGCCTTTTGTACGGTGCCCTTCGACTGCACGTTGTGCTGACTGGGCGAGATGCCGGCGCCGAGACGTTTTTGCTCCTGAAAAAAGCGGATTTGGAGGGAGAAGCTTGTAGTTTGTAGTTTAGAGACACGGGTGAGGAATTAGGGAATTAACGGAACAGGATAATCTTTGGAATCGTAGTACGGTAGTTCTACTGTAGACGTTATTTTCAGGCTAAAAGCATGCGAAGCGAGAGAGAGAAAGAGAGAGAGAGAGAGAGAGAGAGAGAGAGAGAGAGAGAGAGAGAGAGAGAGAGAGGGAGAGACGAGAGAGACAGAGATAGAGAGAGAGAGAGAGAGAGTGAGCGAGAGATAGAGAGAGACAGCGAGAGGGAGAGAGTGAGAGCGAGCGAGAGAGAGAGAGAGAGCGAGAGATCGAGAGAGAGAACTTCGAAGGCTGCAAAGCAACGAATGAAACCAAAAAAAACATGCAGGGACTACACAGCACAACACGCAACGTAAGGCCACAAAATCGCCCAGACCAACCCACCCCACTCGTGGCAACAACGCTGCTGGCGGCCGGCCGATTCTGGGCGTAGAATGGCTGCTGGGGCAGGCCGCGCCGCTCGCGGAACTTGGCAAAATCGGCCTCCACCTGAGAAAGAGGGAACTACGACCCGGATTAAATTAATTAGCCTAGTTTTTGTGAATTTTAAGAGTTAAATAGGTAATTATGAGCATTCTACGATTGTGAAGAATTTTACCAGAATTTTTAGTCGCCACTTCAAGCATGCCACGAGGCGGGGGCTAGGACCAGGTAAGAGAGCAGAGAACATCGGGGAAAGGGCAGGCTAGTCGAGATTCTTTAGGAAAAGCAGACTAGCAGAAGGCTTTTAGGCAACGGCAAGCTAGCAGAGATTCTTTAGGAAAAGGCCTGCTAGCAGAGATTATTTGGGAAAGAACGGGCTAGCAGAGATTCTTCAGGAGTTTTCACATGCAGCAAACCGAGAGAAAGAAGTCATGCAAAGCGTACGATAGATTTCGGGCGACGCCGGCCGAAGACGTGGCGATAGAGGGCGGCCGCGAAGCGGTGGAACATCCAGCTGAAGAAGCGGAACAGCCCGTAAACGCAGCGCCACAGGAACGAGCAGCCGGAGGAGAGCGGCCGCAGCATCCACCACCGCTGCAAAACGGCAAAAATGGGGGTGAGCGGAAATTAGGAAACGGAAAATCGAAGTCAGGCTTGTGCTTGGGCTTGGGCTTAGGCTTAGGCTTAGGCTTAGGCTTAGGCTTAGGCTTAGGCTTAGGCTTAGGCTTAGGCTTAGGCTTAGGCTTAGGCTTAGGCTTAGGCTTAGGCTTAGGCTTAGGCTTAGGCTTTCCTTAAGCATCCTAAAATCCTTGCCGCGAAGACACCAACTACCAAGTACACAACAGCACGGACAACACGCAAAAGAGGGAAGAAAACCCAATGAAACCGCAGTTTTTAGCATGCCAAAGCGACAGAAGAAATTCTTAGACTTTCGACGGTTACGGTAGGCTACCGTAACCCAACAAACGCATACCTGCCGCCGAACTTTGAGGCGTCGAATGGCGGCGTCGAGGTCCCGGGTGCCGGGCATGCCCGGCTCACCCATCTTCGGCCCGACGTAGTCGGCCAGCGAGTCGGTGGACGACGACTTGGAGACGTTGCCTGGAAAGGAGGGCATTCTTCAATGATCTCTGCCAGTCGGCCCTTTCCTGAAGAATCCCAGCTAGCCTGTCGTGCCCCAAAAAGCCCTCCACTCACCAATCTTCTCCGCTTCCCGGCTGGTTCCCGGGAAGGCGACGATCGGCGGTGCCGACTCGTCCCGGGGGACGATGTTCAACGTCTTCGGCCGCGTCGTCACATCGATTGAGGGCGTTGCGGTCGCGTCGCGGCTGTGTGCCGCTCCGATCGAGTGCACGACCGTCGTCTTGACGATGGTGAGCGCGAGCGGTTGCGCGGCGGCCACGGTGGGATGCCCGAATGAGGTGGAGGCTTGCTGGGCGTGCTGAAAACGTGGTTATTCAAGGGAGCGAGAGAGCGAGAGAGAAAAGGCGAAAGAGAGAGCGCACCTGATTCTGGAGCACAGCCTGTAGCTGCACATCGGCTTCCGGACAGGGCGGCGGATCGGTTTGCGTCTCGATGCAGGCGGTGCTCTTCTTGGGGACGTCGTCGGAGCCGCGACGCGACCGCCACGGCGCCGGGGTCGAGTGGGCAAGGGGCGGGCCAATCTGAAGAAGGGGAATTTGACATTTTAAAGGGATGGTGACACCAGATTCAACGTCTTGAACCAGCTGGCAAAATTTTCCTCAAGGATCTGTGCTAGTTACCTCGTTGATGTCGAGGTACGAAGCGTCGTCCAGGGCGCGTTGTTGTCGCGTTGGGGTCGCGTGTTCAGAAGGAGCGATCTAGAAAAGAATTTTTTCACTCTCTCTCTCTCTCTCTCTCGCTCTCTCACCTGTGACATTGGCGTCTGTGGTGGGGTAGTCGGGGGCCGATTCTGCACTCCCCTCCTCAGCACGTCGACCAACACCGGGTTCGGCACCTCGACAACGTCTTCAACTTCCTGCAAAAAATCGGCGCTCCCAAATGATCTCTGCTCGCTACCCGAATCGGCTGATTCTGCAGGCGTTCCAGCTCCTGTCGCAGCGACTTGGCATCCGAGCGCGCCGTCACGAAGGGAGTGCTGGAAAATATCGGGTTTAAAGGGGCGTTGAGGGCAATCTCTGCTAGCCTGCCCCTTCCTAAAGAATCGCTGCTAGCCTGCTATTTTGTGACATCATTTTAAAGGAAGCGGGACAGTAGCAGAAAGGGCAAAACGACAACAACAAGTCCAGACAAAAAACGACGGTAACAAAAATGGCGCCCACTCCAGCAGATTGCCGGCCGAGAACGAGCGCGAGGCTTTGAGGCGGCGGCGCTTCGCTTCGGCCGCGTAGTCATCTGGATACGCCCATTCGGGCCTCATCTGGCGCGCAGGCGCGCCGACGGAGTGGCGTCGGGGGCGAGGGGCGCTGCGCTGGAAGGCGAACGGGTCGAACGGGAGGGCCGTGGGCAGCTGCCTGAACGGACCGGACACGATGCATGCACACGACAGGACAACGTGGGGTACGGTAGTGGGTAGTGGGTTAAGTTGGTGAAAGCGAGAGAGAGGGAGGGACAGTGAGACGGAGAGAGAGAGACATCCCCGGATAACGCACCAAAACCACCCCACTGCTCACCTGGCAAAGCCCGAGTCCGAGTTCTCGAGCTCGCTGGCCAGCGAGTCGTACATTGAGTCCTGGGAGGAGGTGCGGTGCACCGAGCTCTTCACCTTCAGCGACTTGATCTCCTCCTCGGCCTCGCTGTACATCAGCTTCACCTGAAAAACGAGCGATTGAGTTAGAGTCACTTAGCCTCTTTGAAAAATGTTACTGAACGCGCTCACCTCGGTGTACTTCTCCTGCAGCTCGCCGACTTGGCTCTCCAGCGCCTCGTGCTGCCGGATGGCGTCGTCGAGCTGTTCGGCGAGTTCAAGATTCACTTCGGTGAGCTAAAAAAGGCCAAAATGATGTCTGGCGGACTAGCATAGATTTTTTAGGAAAGGGCAGGCTAGCAGAAATTCCTTAGGAAATGGCAGGCTAACAGAGATTTTTTAGCAAAGGGCAGGCTAGCAGAGATTCTTTAGCAGCGTACCTCCTTCGTCTCCCGGCTCTTCGCCTGGATCTCCTGCATCAACCTGGAGACGTTCAGCGCCTGCCCCTGGCACTCGTCCTGCTTCTCCTGGATCTGCCGTTGCAGCTTGTGGATCTTGTCGTTGGCCGAGTCGAGCTGCTTGTTCAGGTCGCGGATCACCTTCTGGCCGTGCTGGTCGGCCTCCTGGGCCGTCTGCTGGAGCGTCGCGTTCTGTTAAAGGGGCGTGGAAGGTTGGGTAGGATTTTTTGTACCTGGGTCTTCAACCGTCGATTCTCATCAGCGAGCTTTTCGGCGCGGGTGCGAAGGCTGTGCTCATTTTCGCGAGTGCTGAAAAAAGAGGATAGAAATGGTATGCTAAAGAATCTCTGCTAGCCTGCCATTTCCTAAATAATCTCGGCTAGTTGCCCTTTCCTAAAAAATCTCTGCTGTCTTGGCCTTTCCTAAAGAATCTCTGCTAGCCCTCCTCACCTCGCTCGTTCTCCATACTCGTCGAGCATCGAGTATCGGTGCATGAGGTCGACCTTGAGGCGCAGTTCATGGCGCAGCTGGGTGATCGTCTCCTCCACCTCGCGCGACTCGGCCTCCAGGAATTCATTGCTGAAGCGGGTGAATGAGGTTAGACTTTAGTGGCCTTTTAAAAAAAGTTTAAAAAACCCTAAAGGAACTGTGAAGTCAAACAACCCTGATGGATTGACTTCAGCGGTCCTTTAAACGCGAAAAAAACCCAGTACCGTGTCCTGAGCTCCTTGTTCTGCTCGAAGAGCCGCTGGCCGATGGTGGCGGCTAGCTCGAGGTCGGCGGTTTTCTGAAAACGGGGTTTAAAGGGGTGGTGACAGTAGGGAAGGGCATTTTTTTGGCTTTAGACTCGATGGTTCGCTACGAATTTTGAAGCCTAAGCTTTGGCCTAAGCTCAAGCTAAGCCCAAGCCTAACCCCGTACTAACCGCTAGGTATTCATTAAAGCCACTGTCGTCATGGTGTAGCTGATCATCACCCGAATCGAACGAGTCGGCTAGCATTTTTTTGGTGGTTGATGTGCAGTTTTTAGAGTGGCATCGGCTCTACAGAATAAAACTTGAGAGAGAGAGAGCGAGAGAGAGAGAGAGAGAGAGAGAGAGAGAGGAGAGGGAGGAGAGAGAGAGAGAGCGAGAGCGAGAGGGAGCGAGAGAGAGGGAGAGATCGAGAGCGAGAAAGAGAGAGAGGATTCACAAAAATTTCGCGATGCAACAAATTCTGTCAATGCCGTGCTAGGGAAAGGGAAAGCCAATTAGACTTTGGTCTAGACGAAAGAGAGAGAGCGAGATAGAGAGAAAGCGCGAGAGAGACAGGAGAGGAATTATGTAAATCAAGCCCCAAGAACAAGGGACAGAGAGACCCAAAGAGACTCCAGGGGAATTAGCCCGGGCCCTAAGGCATCGGGCCCTAGGGCCCAGTAGTCTGAGATGGCCCGAATTTCCTGAGGGCGCAGAGAAGCCATAGCAAAATGGGGCCCATGGCCATAGTTGGGCCCTCTGGACGAGGATGAGTATAGGCGGATGGGATGGGGTAAACAACCTTAAGTAGCCCGGGCTAGCTGAAGCTGTCAAGAAGTTGGGGGCGAACGGTGTGTGGCCCAAATATTTGGGTCAGGTATGGGGCCTAAGCGTGGCGTGCAATTGATAGTGCAGTGCTGGAAATGTTGAAATTAGTGGTAAACAGTTCGAAATTCAACGAAACGGTGCCGGTTCCTCAAGAATCTCTGCTAGCATGCCATTTCCTAGAGAATCTCTGCTAGCCTGCCATTTCCTAAAGAATCTCTGCTAGCCTGCCCTTTCCTAAAGAATCTCTGCTAGTCTGCCCTTTCCTAAAGAATCTCTGCTAGTCTGCCCTTTCCTAAAGAATCTCTGCTAGCATGTCATTTCCTAGAAAATCTCTGCTAGCCTACCCTCTGCCTATACGTCAACTCGATAACTCGATATTTTTGTAGGAAAACGGACGATAACCGTAGGAAATTGCGTAATGGCCCCGGCGCGCCAAGATGGGCAAAACCGAGAAGAAAAGAAGAAGGAGAAGAAAGCGGGGGCCATCTGGTCATAGGAATTGTGTGAGGGGGGAGACTACGCATAGCGCCTATCGACTATCCGGTTACCGGGCGCGCAATGAATCGGTCGGGGCGGCCAATCGACTTCTACACTTCTCAAGGGACAGGTCATTCTTGTGAGCAGAGAGCCTAGCAGAGATTCTTTGGGAAAGGGCAGGCTAGCGGAGATTCTTTAGGAAAGGGCAGACTAGCAGAGATTTCTTGGGAATTGGCAAGCTAGCAGAGATTCTTTGGGAAATAGCGAGCTAGCAGAGACTCTTTAGGAATCGGCACTCAAAAATTTGCATACGAAAAGTCCAGAAAATGCATAAACAAGCCTTCATGATCACACGAGAGGCTCAAGGGGGCGGAAATCAAACCGGGCGGCCTCGAAGAAAGGCCGGCGAGCCTTGGCAAACAAATAAGTCGACACAAATATTTGAATAATCGGGGGGAAATCGGGCGGAGACATTGACGGAATGCTTGGCCAGGGACGATATCCACATGGGAATACGCATGGGAACCGGGAAATGGAGGCTCACTTACGGCGAGGTAGTACAAAATACACCTCTTACGGCCATTTAAAGGGACTGGGAAGGTACAGGAAAAATTAGCATAAAACGGGCTTTCCATCTCCTGTTACAGGGGCTGGGAAGGCGGGGCTAGTTTTGCCTTCAATGGCCCTTTAGCCTGCACCAAAAACTGACCAGCGATTGGCACATCGCGTGGAATATCGCCTCCGGGAAGTGATTAAAATTTCCAGCCGGCTGTGCGCATATCGACTGGGTTGTTTTTGGGTTGGCGGCAATGGAAGAGAGAGAGAGAGAGAGAGAGAGAGAGAGCCAAAAACGGAGCACGAACCCCCCGCTCTCCCAGGCCAGAAAAGAAAGATCGAAAAGCGATCGGTCGAGACGGATTCGCCAAAAAATGACGCTATTTGGAGCGACAAGAAGCAAAATGTGAGCTGTTCGGCACTTAAAAAAGCCTAAAGGACCAAAAGCTAGCTGGCACCATCCCTTTAAGATCTTGAGAACGAGCAAAGGAGGCGTTCCAAATGCTTGGCAGGGTGTGAAAAGCCAATAAAGCCGTCAAGGAGCTGGGAGAGGAGCCGGAAAACCCGATGGAATTGGCTGCGGGTGCACACAAAAAGTAGAGCCGGACAGGGCAGGCTAGCGGAGATTCTTTAGGAATGGGCAGTCTAGCAGAAATTCTTTAGAAAATTGCCGTAACTGCTGGAATCGAACCATCAAGCCAAAAAAATACAAAAACAGATGGAAAAATTCGAACCTTTCGCAGTCGTTCCTGCAGCTCATCGCCCTCCTCGCCGCCCGCATCGGCCATCCACTTGCGCGAGATCGATTTCTCTGCAAAAAAAAGTTTTAAAAATATAGGAAAATATAGGAAATTAAAGAAAGGGCATTTCCAGAAGAATCTCTGCTAGCCTGCCCTTTCCTAAAGAATCTCGGCTAGCCTGCCCTTTCCTAAGAATCTCTGCTAGCCTGCCCTTTCCTAAAGAATCTCGGCTAGCCTGCCCTTTCCTAAGAATCTCTGCTAGCCTGCCCTTTCCTAAAGAATCTCTGCTAGCCTGCCCTTTCCTAAAGAATCTCGGCTAGCCTGCCCTTTCTAAAGAATCTCCGCTAGCTAGTCCTTTCCTAAAGAATCTCTGCTAGCCTATCAAAGCCGAAACTTCTAATTCAAGGCCAAAAGCCACCTCCGGCTCAAAAATCAATTTGGCGGGGAGCCTGAGAAGTAAGATGAAGAAAAAGACCGCCGCAGCGGCCATATCGCTGTCGAAAATCAGCTGCCGCTAGCAGAATTTTTCGCTGTTTTTTTTAGGGGTCCGATAGGATACGATCGACTACGGTAGCGAAAAAACGAAATTTTCCAAGAAAATTTGAAAATTGCGACTCGGAAAAATCTTTAACGCCCGGAAACTAAAAAAGACAAATGAGGAGTTCTAAAATTAGCAATAATGACGATTAAGAGAGACCCGGAATCCTGAGAAAGGCTACGCAAGGCTACGGTCATGTCAAAATTGCGTTTTTAAACGCGAAAAACTCGTGAGAAATCCCGAATCAAGAAAAATTTGTATAATTGATGACTTAGAGTACGGTAGGCCAGGAATACCATAAATTACGATGGAAAGAGGGTACGGTATACGTTAGACTACGTGAGGATACGGCAGGATACGGTAGCAAGGCATAGGTGGCTTGGGTACTTTAGTGTACATTGGAGTACGCTAGAGTACGTTAGTACGTGAGAATACGACAGGAACGATAGTACGTACGGTAAAGTACTCTAGAATACCAGCCGATTACAGCCGCTTCGCGACTGCAATCGGCTGGACTTCGGGCCACCCTCCATATTCTACACCACCACATTTAATCCCTACCTTACGCTGATGCCTTCATGGCAATAACTACACTGATGGCTTCAGATACCTCCTCTAGCCAACCCCCCACAAAAACATAGCTACCTTCCCGATGGCTTCAGATACCCCTCCGGGTCGAAATTCCGTTAAAAATCTACCAAAATACCTCCCTGATGGCTTCAGATACCCCCTATGGCTGAAATCCCCTTCAAAAACTACCTAAATACCTTCCTGATGGCTTCAGATACCCCCATGGCTGAAATCCCTTCAAAAACTACCTAAATCCCTTCCCGATGGCTTCAGATACCCCCCCATGGCTGAAATCCCTTCAAAAACTACCTAAATACCTTCCTGATGGCTTCAGATACCCCCCATGGCTGAAATCCCCTTCAAAAACTACCTAAATACCTTCCTGATGGCTTCAGATACCCCCCATGGCTGAAATCCCCTTCAAAAACTACTTAGATACCTCCTGATGGCTTCAGATACCCCCCATGGCTGAAATCCCTTCAAAAAACTACTTAGATACCTCCCTGATGGCTTCAGATACCCCCCATGGCTGAAATCCCCTTCAAAAACTACCTAAATACCTTCCTGATGGCTTCAGATACCCCCCATGGCTGAAATCCCCTTCAAAAACTACTTAGATACCTCCCTGATGGCTTCAGATACCCCCATGGCTGAAATCCCTTCAAAAACTACCTAAATACCTTCCTGATGGCTTCAGATACCCCCATGGCTGAAATCCCTTCAAAACTACTTAGATACCTCCCTGATGGCTTCAGATACCCCCCATGGCTGAAATCCCCTTCAAAAACTACTTAGATACCTCCCTGATGGCTTCAGATACCCCCATGGCTGAAATCCCCTTCAAAAACTACCTAAATACCTTCCTGATGGCTTCAGATACCCCCCATGGCTGAAATCCCCTTCAAAAACTACCTAAATACCTCCCTGATGGCTTCAGATACCCCCCATGGCTGAAATCCCCTTCAAAAACTACTTAGATACCTCCCTGATGGCTTCAGATACCCCCCATGGCTGAAATCCCCTTCAAAAACTACCTAAATACCTTCCTGATGGCTTCAGATACCCCCCATGGCTGAAATCCCCTTCAAAAACTACTTAGATACCTCCCTGATGGCTTCAGATACCCCCCATGGCTGAAATCCCCTTCAAAAACTACCTAAATACCTTCCTGATGGCTTCAGATACCCCCCATGGCTGAAATCCCCTTCAAAAACTACTTAGATACCTCCCTGATGGCTTCAGATACCCCCCATGGCTGAAATCCCCTTCAAAAACTACCTAAATACCTTCCTGATGGCTTCAGATACCCCCCATGGCTGAAATCCCCTTCAAAAACTACCTCAATACCTTCCTGATGGCTTTAGATACTTTAAATAATTTAAATAATTAATTAACATAATTAAAAAGTATTAAAAGTATTAAAGTAACTCAAAAAGGCATCTGGGCGCGCGAAGGGGCCTGGGGAAGAGGGGCGAAGAGAAAGGGGGCGTGGCCTCCCGGGGAGAGGGGCCCCCACTCGTTTTATTAAGGCGCCACTTTCAAAGTTAATTTTAATAATT